ATTATTATTTAAAGTCATTGTCATATTATATTATATTATATCACCACCGAGAGTACATGTATATATAATATATATATTGTGGTATATACTGTTATATTTAAGTGTGAGCATGTATGTGTATATATACTAGAACAATTTCACTTCGTTTTTAAAAATGTTGTAGTGCTTAGAAAATAATGTACCACGAATTGTTTTATTTATCAATATAAAATACTATACATAATTATTTCAGTTATTTTACATAATACAGGCGGGCGTTGTTGTTTTCCCGTAACTGCCGTCTGCTGCGCGTGCAGCTTTGATACACTAATGTATATACCACAGTACATTATATAATATACTCGCGGTGGCGTTGGCGGTGTCGCGAGATCATACTTTTTTCCTCACTTGCAAATATATATATAAAATAAATATAACAATATAAATATAACGCGCGGTTGCTATACGTGACCAAACAAATACATATAATATATACTCGCGGTGGCGGTGGCGGTGTCGCGAGATCATACTTTTTTCCTCACTCGCAAATGCTTTCTTATACGGGGTGCCCAACGTGCCTAAAGAAGTTTTCACTTCAATTATTTTACTCATTACGAATAATGCAGACGATGTAAAATAGTTTTCGTGTCCATTTATTTCCGTTCAGTGGTCCCCCACGGCCCCACTAGTTACCGACCCTTGCTCTAAGCGTTAGCTACTTTATCTAATAAGTGTACATCTATAGCACCTATACCTACTTATATATTATTATATACTACTACAAAAAAATTCTAAAAAAAATATAATATAACAGTGGCGTAGACAGGAATTTTCCGGGGGGGGGGAGGGGGCTGATCAACTTTTACACTTTTACACATTAAATACGCGTAATAGCACAGCTGATGGATAGCTGAAAAGTATTAATACCTACTTATAGTACATTTTTAAATATTTGATATTATACCATTTAAGACTTTTTGAGTGACTATCATAGACCATTAAAATATTTTTTTTATTTTCTTAACATTTCGGGGGGGGGGGGGATGCAGCCCCTCCCCTGGCTACATCACTGTAATATTATATACATGTTTTTTTTTACAAAATACAGAAAATTGTCTTACTTACTTGGTTTATATACTGTTTATGGGTACCAAGTTTAATTTGGCTGAGTTTAAATAATTTCTTACTATCTCATTAACTTTTCCATATTGTCCAATAGCTTTGAAACATGGAGGTACGTACAATACTACTTAGGATCCTTGTTCTGATAAATAATAGCTTTTGTTCATTTAAAATCGCATTCATTGATGTTGATGTGTGCACCTATATGTATCTAAAACAGTATAAAGGTTTAAATATTGAAAATAAAAAGAACAACTAATTTTCCACGAACTTATAGAAAGTAAGGAAAGTTAAAAATAATTTTGGAAAACTTAAACAAATTATAAATTAAAACGGCAATCGAAAAAATTTAATATTATTCGCCGGAAAGTTAAAACTGTGAAGTATATAATTTAAATATTTTTTTTGAACGAAATTGAAATATAAACATTAATAAGAAATAAACAAATTAAAGTTAGTTTTTTGTATCGGTTATATGGAAATTAATAACAAACATTATATTATTATATGGCTAGCATAGTATTTTTTTTTATAATATAAAATATGAATAAATAATAATTATTTATAAACTTTCATATTATTATGTTTGTAGCCAATTCACGATAAGAATTAATACTAATAGTACGTATAATATTACATTATAGCCAGGGCTAGTGAGTATAGTGAGAAACATTTTCATGAAAATTTTATAAGTTATAGTTTATTTAACCTAAATAATTGTATTTAAACTGTATGACCATTTACACATTTTTATATTATATCATTAAACATAATATTGGAAATCCAAAATACAAATAAGAGAGAGACAGAAAGCAAAAATATAGTATTTTTCGAAAAGCAAAAACAGCAAATGTAATATAGCGGGGTCACTAGTTAGGACAGTTAAAATCGAAAACAACCCTTGATATGTTATGTAAAACCACATTGGGTGATCTCTAGGTAACGACAAACTTCAGAAAAAGTCTACTTTACTTGACACCCGGCGGAAGTAGAAAATAGAAAAAGTCAACCTGATTTGAGCAGTAAGCACTGTAATATCGAAAACTATGATTTGCTGTAACTTTTGAACAGGGTTTAAATTTCCGAAAATTGTTTCATACACTTTTTAATTCAGTATACTAATACAGTAGTACACGTATTTCGGGTGTGAAAAATTTGAGCGGCATTCGTTTGGGCGAATAACCCAAAATTAACTTGAGTAAAGCATAGATCATTTGGGCGAGAAATTAACCGATCGTTTAGGCGAATTTATAAATTATTGAATAATAGAGAAGTAAGTAAGTAACATTACTTAGGTATACAATAATTTTTATAATATTTAGGTACTACAACTAATTATTATTATTATATCGTTTCGGCTGATTGGTGAATACAGATAGTGAACGATAATTTGTTAGATTGTATACTAAGACGAGATAAAACATTTTACTCAATATTATATTACATAAAAATACTAAAGAAAAACAAGACTATACAATTTTTCTGGTTGTTTAGAATTGAAGTACCTATATAATGTTATTATGAATAAACCACAGGAAAACATTTTTTTAGAAAATAAAAAGATACATATACATTTCGCATGTTGATTCTGTTAATTTACCTATCAGGTATATTAAGTGGAAGTAAATTTTTTAGGTGGAACATGATGAAGAGCAAAATAATGAGATTTCTAGCAGTGGTATAAATGATGAAAATTTTATTATACAAAATAAAGGTGTTCAGAATAATTCTGATAATATATGTACGACAGATTTTATGAAGTAAGTAAACAGTTTTTTTATCATATTATCTTATATAGTACAATGTTGTCATATATTGTCATATATTATAACGGCTTCCTAGAGTTGTACATAAACACTGAACCACGTATATTGTTTAATAATGGTGCACAAAAACAATGACCTGTGTTGTAGCTGGAATGCCTATCCAAAGCGCCGTGTTTAAATTTGTATTTAAAAAAATGTTGTAAAACTATTAATATAATATTATGAATTATGATTTACGGAAAAATGATAATAATAGAAAAACTAAATAACAGTAACGCCTTAACCGTGCTGCGGGTGCTTAGGGATTTTGCTATTTTAGAAAACTAAAAAAAGTTTTAGAAAAAATTATTCAATTGGAACACATTAGAGAGCTGAAACTGAAATTTCCAGATTCATAAACAGAAAAAACAGTTTATAATGATTAACTAGCTCGTTATAGAATGTCAATACAGAGGACACCTGCAGGTTATCAATATTCAAGTCTATAGAAGAAATGTAAATAGAGTAAAATTCCTGAAAAAAAAAAACTTAAGGGGAGTGTTTACGCCAGCATGAAAATACATTTTAGAAAACAATAAAAAAATTTAGAAAAAAATTAAACAGTAGGAACCCCAGTAGGAACACAGATTAAAGAGTTCAAACTACAATCTCCAGAATCTTAATAAAACTATTCATAATACATAGATCATTAAAGAAAGTATATTCATAGAGTACCTGTAAGCAAATACATTAAAGAAAATTAAAAAAAACAGTTTGAAAAAATTATTCAATAATAACATGCCATATTAAAGAGTCCAAACTAAAATCTCCAGAATCTTACATAGAAAAAACAATTCACGATGATTACCTAGCTTGTTTTAGAATGTCAATACAGAGGGTACCTGCAGGTTGTCAATATTCAAGTCTGTGCAAAAATTTCAACTAATCTCAAATTCCTAAAAAAAAAAATGAAAGGGGAGTGTTGGCGCCCACAGGCAAATAGATTTTATAAAAAACAAAAAAAAAATTTAGTAAAAATTATACAGTAGGAACAAACATTAAAGAGTTCAATCTTAAATGTCCAGAATCTTAAACAGAAAAAACAATGGTCAATGATTAGCTTATTAAAGAATTATAATAGAGGGCACCTACAGGTTATCAATATTCAAGTTTCCGCAAAAAATTCATCTAGAGTCAAATTCCTAAAAAAAAATAGAAGGGTAGTGTTGGCGCCCGCAGGCGAATGCATTTAAGAAAACAACAAAAAAAAATATATATACACAATGGTAAGACGTCATATTAAAGAGTTTAAACTAAAATCACCAGATTCTTGAACGGAGAAAACACTTCACAATGATTACCTAGCTCGTTTTAGAATGTCAATACAGAGGGCAAATGCAGGTTATCAATATTCAAGTCTATAGAAGGAATGTAATTAGAGTTAAATTCCTAAAAAAAAATTGAAGGGTAGGGTTAGCGCCCGCAGTCATATGCATTTTAGAAAAATAAAAAGGTGGATTAATATAACCAATTTATACAAAATCCTATCCTAACATCATAACCGTACTAAAATCTGACGAAGAAAAAAAAACAAATTTAACCCTTTGTAAATTAACCTATATTCTTCCCAGAGGTCTAATCTACCCACAAACATTAATTTATATATCTAACTATATAAATACACAGACTATAACTATACAGACTAAACTCTGAAACTACTTATCAGATATTATTGTATAAATTATATATATGTGGGATTATATTATCTGTTATCTATTGTATTGTATTAAGTTATTGCGTCTCCCGGTCAGTGTCGAGTGAACCGTGATTGTGAGTAGGTTAAGACGTTTCAGTAATATAATTCTTTTAAAACCAAACATTGTTGTGTTAACCGTTTATGTTACAAACCTTCAACCACAACTTGAAGTTAATACAACATTGTATTAACTTCCACATTTGGGGGCCTGTCCGGTTGTTGGCTCGTATTAACACGCGTTAACAATTAATAAGTCGTGAACTTGTAAAACTAGTTACTAACCTCAAAATTAATTCGTATTTACCAAGTCGCGTGGTCGTGTTGTGGTGCGTGAAGTAAATCGTGAATCGCGATTCATATCTCGTGTTTTTGAACTTGCCAGTTAACTTCCTTACAAAATGGCACCCAGGACGCCGAAGACACGCAAAGCTAAGGCAAATGCAAGAACTAACGAAACTACTGTTGCCATCGAAGAAAAGGATACTGTTAATCAGGTTAGAGAATCGATTAAATTTCATGATGTGCGAGAATCTCTTAATGTATTTACCGGTGATGATACTTATTCAATCATTAAATGGATAGAAGATTTGGAAGAAATGAGCGAAGTATGTGGATGGTCTGATGTTGAACTTTTTATATATAGTAAACGTCTATTGTCGGGGACTGCTGCCCTATATCTACGTTCTGAAACTGGTATTAAGTCATGGAATTTAATGAGGGAATGTTTGATGAATGAGTTTCGTAATAATTTAACTTCGGCTGACGTGCATAGGCAGCTTACAGCCAGAATAAAAAATAATGACGAATCTCATCAGCAGTATTTGTTTAAAATGATGGAAATAGCAAAACAAGGAGATGTGTCTGAAGATTCACTATTGGATTATGTCATTGCTGGCATTCAGGATAGTGAAGTGAATAAGGCTTTACTTTATGGAGCTACAACAATAAGCGAATTTAAAATAAAACTACAATTGTATGTTAAGATGAAGTCAAGGATGCACATCTCTGAGTCAGGAATATCTAAGGTTTTTAATGGTGCTGCAAGTAATCATAATGCAGGTAATATAAAACAAAACTCGATGTCTGGTGTTGCGAACACAATAATTAGATGTTATAATTGCGGATCTAAGACACATCAACATAGGGAATGTCCAGACTTGGATAAAGGTCCTAAGTGTTTTGCTTGTAGATCTTTTGGCCACAAATCAACAGAATGCCCTGATAAGGAAACTCAAACAAAGCAAGTGAATAATGATGAAAAACCACAAGTTTATCAAGTGAATGCTATAAATACTAATGAGCGAATATTTAAAGAAATTAATGTCTTAGGAATCCAGACGTTAGCCCTTATAGACACTGGCTGCGATTTGAATTTATGCCGACAGTCATTAATTAAAGGTATTGACGCTGTCAATGCAGAAGTTAGTCTTAGTGGACCAGCTGGAACTATGTTTTGTACTAAGAAAAAATTCATCACTGAATTAGAAGTTGATAATGCTACTTATACAGTAGAAGTATACTCGGTACCTGATGAAGATATAATGTGTGACTTTATAATAGGTAGATCATTATTCCAAACCAATGCTGAACTAAAAATTAGTCCTGGAGTGATTGAAATCAACAAAATAACTATCGAAACAAGTGAGTTTGATGTAGGATCTAGAGAACACTATCCGGTTATAAAGAGTATGATAGCTAACTATGTACCATGTGCTACAGAAACTACACCCATAAAAACCAAAATTATAGTCAGTGATGAAGAACCCATCTATCAGCGATCAAGGCGTTTATCACCAAAAGAAAAAGCAATTGTGGAAAGTCAAGTGGAGGAATGGATTAAGGAAGGAATTATCAGACCTAGCTGCTCAGATTATGCTAGCCCAATTGTAATTGTCCCTAAGAAAGATGGTTCATTTCGGGTATGTGTTGACTATCGTCGATTAAATAATAAAATCATTAAGGATCGTTACCCTTTACCTTTGATAGAAGACCAGCTGGATAAGCTTCAAGGGGCCAGAATATTTTCAACATTAGACCTTAAGAACGGTTTTTTTCATGTGGCTATGGACGAAGAGAGTATTAAATATACATCTTTTATTACACCAGAGGCACAATATGAATTTATGAAAACACCATTTGGATTGTGTATTGCTCCACCTATATTTCAGCGCTTTATAAACCATGTATTCAAGGATATAATGCGGATGGGATATTTGTTAATATACATGGATGACTTAGTAATTATTTCAAGCACAGTTGAGGAGAATATTGAAAGACTGAAGATAGTATTAAGAACCTCGGCTAACCATGGTCTGAAAACTAATTGGAAAAAATGTCAATTTCTCAAAAAAGAAATTGATTACCTGGGATATAGAATCAAACACAATAAACTGAGTCCATCACCATTAAAGCTGGCTGCTGTGGTAAAATATCTAAGACTACAGAATGCAAAACATATTCAGAGCTTTTTAGGACTGACTGGATATTTTCGAAAATTCATTAAGGACTACGCCTTGATTGCTCGTCCATTGAGCGAAATACTCAAAAAGAGTATACCATTCGTAATTGGACCTCAACAAGAAAGTGCGTTTAATATGTTAAAGAAAAAATTAACAGAGGCACCCGTATTGGGAATCTTTAATCCAGAAGCAGTTACGGAGGTGCACACTGATGCCAGCATGTATGGGTTTGGTGCCATACTTTTACAGAAAGATTCCGATAATCTGTTGCACCCTATATACTTTATGAGCAAAAAAACTACGCAAGCACAGCAAAGATACCATAGTTATGAATTAGAAGTTTTAGCAATTGTTGAGGCTGTGAAGAAGTTTAGATCCTATTTATTAGGACTGCAGTTCAAAATAGTAACCGATTGCGCTGCATTTACTAAAACACTAGAAAAAAGGGAACTTGCTACACGTGTAGCCCGCTGGGCATTGCTGTTGAGTGAATTTAATTACACTATTGAGCATCGAGCCGGGTCCAATATGGCTCATGTAGATGCGTTGAGCCGTTATCCGATATGCATGAATATCAATAGCGAATTTATAGCACAATTGCAGAAAGCACAACAGAATGATATTGAGGTGAAAACCTTAACTTCAGAAGCAAGGATGAATGGATGTGGTTCATATATTGTAGAAAATGATTTGCTTTATGAAACACGAGATGACAGAAAATTACTGGTTATTCCAAAAGGTATGCAAAAAGAGTTAATTCGAAATGCACATAATGTTGGCCATTTTCTAAGTCATTTTTTTAATGACCATTCAAACTAAAATGTACAGAATCCTAAACCGAAAAACAACTGACGATGACGATTATCAATAATCAACTTTGTTCAAAAAATTCAACTAGTCAAATTCCTAAAAAAAAATTGAAGGGGAGTGTTGGCGCCCGCAGGGAAATGCATTTGAGAAAACCAAAAAAAATTTAGACAAAATTTTACAGTAGGAAAACTCATTAAAGAGTTCAAACTAAAATGTCCAGAATCCAAAACAGAAAAACAACTGACGATGACGATTATCAATAATCAAGTTTGTTCAAAAAATTCAACTAGTCAAATTCCTAAAAAAAAATTGAAGGGGAGTGATGGCGCCCGCAGGCAAATGCATTTTAGAAAACCAAAAAAAATTATACAATCAGAACACATATCAATGAGTTCAAACTACAATCTTCAGATTCATAAACAGAAAAAACAACCATTGAGGGTTCAAAATAAAACGACCAGAATCTTAAACAGAAAAACAACTGACGATAATAAGCTCATTAAAGAATGATAATACAAAGGGCACCTGCAGGAAATCAATAAACAAATCTGTCCAAAAAATTCAAAAAGAGTCAAATTCCTAAAAAAAAAATTTAAGGGGAGTGTTGGCGCCCGCAGGCAAAAGCATTTTAGAAAACCAAAAAAAAAATGTAGAAAAAATTATATGATATTAAGGCATATTGTAGAGTTCAAACTAAAACGACCAGAATCTTAGAAAACCAAAAAAAAAAAAAATTATACAATCAAAACACATATCAATGCGTTCAAACTACAATCTTCAGATTCATAAACAGAAAAAACAACCATTGTGGGTTCAAACTAAAACGACAAGAATCTTAAACAGAAAAACAACTGACGATGATAAGCTCATTAAAGAATGATAATACAAAGGGCACCTGCAGGTAATCAATAAACAAATCTGTCCAAAAAAATCAACTAGAGTAAAATTCCTAAAAAAAAAATTGAAGGGGAGTGTTGGCGCCCGCAGGCAAAAGCATTTTAGAAAACCAAAAAAAATTATACAATCAAAACACATATCAATGAGTTCAAACTACAATCTTCACATTCATAAACAGAAAAAACAACCATTTTGGGTTCAAACTAAAACGACCAGAATCTTAAACAGAAAAACAACTGACGATGATAAGCTCATTAAAGAATGATAATACAAAGGGCACCTGCAGGTAATCAATAAACAAATCTGTCCAAAAAATTCAACTAGAGTCAAATTCCTAAAAAAAAAATTGAAGGGGAGTGTTAGCGCTCGCAGGCAAAAGCATTTTAGAAAACCAAAAAAAATTATACAATCAAAACACATATCAATGAGTTCAAACTACAATCTTCACATTCATAAACAGAAAAAACAACCATTTTGGGTTCAAACTAAAACGACCAGAATCTTAAACAGAAAAACAACTGACGATGATAAGCTCATTAAAGAATGATAATACAAAGGGCACCTGCAGGTAATCAATAAACAATTCTGTCCAAAAAGTTCAACTAGAGTCAAATTCCTAAAAAAAAAATTGAAGGGGAGTGTTGGCGCCCGCAGGCAAATGCATTTTAGAAAACCAAAAAAAAAATGTAGAAAAAATTATATGATATTAAGGCATATTGTAGAGTTCAAACTAAAACGACCAGAATCTTAAACAGAAAAACAACTGACGATGATAAGCTCATTAAAGAATGATAATACAAAGGGCACCTGCAGGTAATCAATAAACAAATCTGTCCAAAAAGTTCAACTAGAGTAAAATTCCTAAAAAAAAAATTGAAGGGGAGTGTTGGCGCCCGCAGGCAAATGCATTTTTGAAAATCAAAAAAAATTTAGACAACATTTTACAGTAGGAAAACACATTAAAGAGTTCAAACTAAAATGTCCAGAATCCTAAACTGAAAAACAACTGACGATGACGATAATCAATAATCAAGTTTGTTCAAAAAATTCAACTAGAGTCAAATTCCTAAAAAAAAAATTGAAGGGGAGTGTTGGCGCCCGCAGGCAAATGCATTTTAGAAAACCAAAAAAAAATTTAGACAAAATTTTACATTAGGAAAACACATTAAAGAGTTCAAACTAAAATGTACAGAATCCTAAACCGAAAAACAACTGACGATGACGATTATCAATAATCAAGTTTGTTCAAAAAATTCAACTAGTCAAATTCCTAAAAAAAAATTGAAGGGGAGTGTTGGCGCCCGCAGGCAAAAGCATTTTAGAAAACCAAAAAAAATTATACAATCAAAACACATATCAATGAGTTCAAACTACAATCTTCACATTCATAAACAGAAAAAACAACCATTTTGGGTTCAAACTAAAACGACCAGAATCTTAAACAGAAAAACAACTGACGATGATAAGCTCATTAAAGAATGATAATACAAAGGGCACCTGCAGGTAATCAATAAACAAATCTGTCCAAAAAGTTCAACTAGAGTCAAATTCCTAAAAAAAAAATTGAAGGGGAGTGTTGGCGCCCGCAGGCAAATGCATTTTAGAAAACCAAAAAAAAAATGTAGAAAAAATTATATGATATTAAGGCATATTGTAGAGTTCATACTAAAACGACCACAATCTTCAACAGAAAAACAACTGACGACGATAAGCTCATTAATGAATGATTATACAGAGGGCACCTGCAGGTAAACAATAATCATGTTTGTTCAAAAAATTCAACTAGAGTAAAATTCCTAAAAAAAAAATTGAAGGGGAGTGTTGGCGCCCGCAGGCAAATGCATTTTTGAAAATCAAAAAAAATTTAGACAACATTTTACAGTAGGAAAACACATTAAAGAGTTCAAACTAAAATGTCCAGAATCCTAAACCGAAAAACAACTGACGATGACGATTATCAATAATCAACTTTGTTCAAAAAATTCAACTAGTCAAATTCCTAAAAAAAAATTGAAGGGGAGTGTTGGCGCCCGCAGGGAAATGCATTTGAGAAAACCAAAAAAAATTTAGACAAAATTTTACAGTAGGAAAACTCATTAAAGAGTTCAAACTAAAATGTCCAGAATCCAAAACAGAAAAACAACTGACGATGACGATTATCAATAATCAACTTTGTTCAAAAAATTCAACTAGTCAAATTCCTAAAAAAAAATTGAAGGGGAGTGTTGGCGCCCGCAGGCAAATGCATTTTTGAAAATCAAAAAAAATTTAGACAACATTTTACAGTAGGAAAACACATTAAAGAGTTCAAACTAAAATGTCCAGAATCCTAAACTGAAAAACAACTGACGATGACGATAATCAATAATCAAGTTTGTTCAAAAAATTCAACTAGAGTCAAATTCCTAAAAAAAAAATTGAAGGGGAGTGATGGCGCCCGCAGGCAAATGCATTTTAGAAAACCAAAAAAAATTATACAATCAGAACACATATCAATGAGTTCAAACTACAATCTTCAGATTCATAAACAGAAAAAACAACCATTGAGGGTTCAAAATAAAACGACCAGAATCTTAAACAGAAAAACAACTGACGATAATAAGCTCATTAAAGAATGATAATACAAAGGGCACCTGCAGGAAATCAATAAACAAGTCTGTCCAAAAAATTCAAAAAGAGTCAAATTCCTAAAAAAAAAATTTAAGGGGAGTGTTGGCGCCCGCAGGCAAAAGCATTTTAGAAAACCAAAAAAAAAATGTAGAAAAAATTATATGATATTAAGGCATATTGTAGAGTTCAAACTAAAACGACCAGAATCTTAGAAAACCAAAAAAAAAAAAAATTATACAATCAAAACACATATCAATGCGTTCAAACTACAATCTTCAGATTCATAAACAGAAAAAACAACCATTGTGGGTTCAAACTAAAACGACAAGAATCTTAAACAGAAAAACAACTGACGATGATAAGCTCATTAAAGAATGATAATACAAAGGGCACCTGCAGGTAATCAATAAACAAATCTGTCCAAAAAAATCAACTAGAGTAAAATTCCTAAAAAAAAAATTGAAGGGGAGTGTTGGCGCCCGCAGCCAAAAGCATTTTAGAAAACCAAAAAAAATTATACAATCAAAACACATATCAATGAGTTCAAACTACAATCTTCACATTCATAAACAGAAAAAACAACCATTTTGGGTTCAAACTAAAACGACCAGAATCTTAAACAGAAAAACAACTGACGATGATAAGCTCATTAAAGAATGATAATACAAAGGGCACCTGCAGGTAATCAATAAACAAATCTGTCCAAAAAATTCAACTAGAGTCAAATTCCTAAAAAAAAATTGAAGGGGAGTGTTAGCGCTCGCAGGCAAAAGCATTTTAGAAAACCAAAAAAAATTATACAATCAAAACACATATCAATGAGTTCAAACTACAATCTTCACATTCATAAACAGAAAAAACAACCATTTTGGGTTCAAACTAAAACGACCAGAATCTTAAACAGAAAAACAACTGACGATGATAAGCTCATTAAAGAATGATAATACAAAGGGCACCTGCAGGTAATCAATAAACAAATCTGTCCAAAAAGTTCAACTAGAGTCAAATTCCTAAAAAAAAAATTGAAGGGGAGTGTTGGCGCCCGCAGGCAAATGCATTTTAGAAAACCAAAAAAAAAATGTAGAAAAAATTATATGATATTAAGGCATATTGTAGAGTTCAAACTAAAACGACCAGAATCTTAAACAGAAAAACAACTGACGATGATAAGCTCATTAAAGAATGATAATACAAAGGGCACCTGCAGGTAATCAATAAACAAATCTGTCCAAAAAGTTCAACTAGAGTAAAATTCCTAAAAAAAAAATTGAAGGGGAGTGTTGGCGCCCGCAGGCAAATGCATTTTTGAAAATCAAAAAAAATTTAGACAACATTTTACAGTAGGAAAACACATTAAAGAGTTCAAACTAAAATGTCCAGAATCCTAAACTGAAAAACAACTGACGATGACGATAATCAATAATCAAGTTTGTTCAAAAAATTCAACTAGAGTCAAATTCCTAAAAAAAAATTGAAGGGGAGTGTTGGCGCCCGCAGGCAAA